ATGATCCTTCATCGACTGCGCCAAAATTTTTAATATGTTATATTCGGTTCGTTCTTTATTTTTGTAAGTAATGAACAAGCACTTAAAACTATCACAAAACTAATATTAATAAACAAGAACTTATTACAGCTAGACTAAAAATCAAATGAACCAACGCCAAGCTGTGTAGCTTGCCTATATTACTTTGGTCTTTCGTCAGTCAACTGTTTCGAATGTTCGAGCAAACACTTGCAAATAAAATAAAAGAAGGAGTCTTTAGAAGCTTCGCTTCTAAAGAAGAACAATTTGAGTTCGTCGCCAGTCTTTTGTTTATAAAAAGTTGAAAATGTGAATATTGAGTACGGGATTATATATATATATATAAAATGTTTATCTCGAATCTTTTAACGAAATAGATGATAATAATGATAATAAGAGTCGTGTTTTGAAATTTATTATTTAATAAAAAAATAAAAATAATTTTTTTTGTGTATGTGTTGTTTTCAAAATGGCGGTCGTGTTACAAAAATCGTGTTTTTTTTTTTTAAAAAGTATCTAATTACACGACGATTTTGTTAGTGTTTTTATTTTTTTTTTTTAAATTTTCCCTTCAGCTAAATGTTATTCGCGCGATTCTCTCCATCTCTCTTTATCTCGTTTCTCTCTCTCTCTCTCACTCTCTCACTCAATCTCTATCTCTATCTCTCTTTCTCTCTTTGAATTCGTTATTTCTACGATTTGAGTCGAGAAAACACCTTTCGCGGTCTGCAACTTTTGAAAGTAACTAGAAGAATTTTTTTAGATCTAAACGTCAACCTGAACGGTCCACGGTTAATTTGACGTCATTATCTAGTCGAGTAACAATAATAATAATGATGGTAATAATAATAATTTTCGAAATTCCAAAGGGAATCATCATTATCTTCGTTCGCTGCGATTAAACGTACATATATGTAGATGGTAGGAGAAGCGTATACGTACATACATACACGAGAGAATGAAAAATGATTTCGCCATTTTTTATTTTTTTCCCCTCCCCCTCTTCTTCCATAAAATCGTTCGTTTACCCCCCCCTTTCGCCCCTCTCCTTCCCTCCCTTTTGCTCGTTTATCGTTATTATCGTCGTTGTTATTCGTGATAACGGAATCCTTCTAAAAAAAAAAAAAAAACGTTTAATGTTTTTTTTTGTTGTTGTTTCTCCCGTTGAAGTTGGTTGTTACGTTTCAGACATTATTAAACTCCTGGTGCGAATCGATTTGAAATTCGAGTTCGATTCGATTGTGTGATCACGTTTGACAATCGAATTTAACAGTGTGATGATCATGTAATCGTACCTTTTTCGATAGAGACTCTAAAAGTTCTACAAAAATATTCTGACACTTTTTATTTCGTTTAAATCGGAGTTGATTAGAATTTTTTTCAAGAGCTGCAGACGACGCTTTTTTTATCCTCCCTCCCCCTTCTTCTAAAGACACGTTTTATTTTTTTCGTTTAAAAAAAAAAAAAAAATCTGCCACGTACTTGAATCCCACGGTTTTTTTTTTTTTTTTTTTGACAGGTTCGATCGTTTCAACCGCCATATTACGCACGCCTTTTATATTATTATTAATTATCATTATTATTATTATCATTATTATTATTATTATTTAACGTATATTGAAAAAAAGAAAAAAAAAATTTTTTTTAATGGGAGTTGAAATGGAAGACAAAAAAAAAAAAAGAAAATGATAAAAATTATTATGAGGAGATGATGTGCATGCTTTCACCTGATGATGATATGTAATTTGAGCACCTGTGATGATGATGATGATGATGATGATCCGTCTAATTGAAAATTCTTTTTAGTTTGAGGCAACTTTTACGAGACGCCATTTTGTTTTTATAGTGATGTGTGTGTGTGTTTGTCGGGAAAGAAGGATTCGAATGTTGTAGCAAAAGTTTTCGAACATGTCGTCTCTGTAGAAGACATTTATTATTATTACTTTTTCCCCCCGAGAGGTTATCACGATATCATCGAACACCTTTGCAGAAAAAAAAAAAATTAATTGATAATAATAATAATGACGATGATAATTTGCAAACTTGTAAATGTAAAAACGATAAAAAAAAAGAAAAGGAAAAGGAAAAGAAAAAAACATAAGCGCGCGAGCGTAGGCGGAAGATGTGTGGAATCGTGTTTCTAGTGCCACTTCCTCCTCGTTCGTCTCGATTGTAAATCGTATCCTGTTCCTTTATTATCATCATTATTATTATTATTATTTTAAATTTGAAAGTGTGATTTTAATTTTAACGATTTTCGTGTAAATTTTCACTTCCGCCGCCGCCGCCGCCGCCCCTCTCCCCTCTCGTCTTCTTTACTTTTTTTAAAGTCATTTCAGGGAAATTTTTTTTTTCTTTCGGAGAGAGCAGGGAATTTTTTTTTATTTTTTGGGGAAGGCAGGGAAATTTTTTTGTTTTGTTGCCGTTCGAAGATTTTTCTTTTTCCTTCGTGTAATAAAATGGCCGATGGTGAGTTGCAAAAATATAAATAGAAAAGGGAGGAACGAAAAAGGGAAGAGAAGGGAAGGGGAAGGGAAGGAGTAAGGTCACAGGTACTAAAACGAACTTTGTTGTTTAAATACCTCCCTCTCTTTTCTCTCTCTTTGTCTCTCTCTCAGTCTTTTACCTGTGTCGAAATCGTGAAATTTACACCTTTAAATATTAAAAGAGATAAAAACGATTTGTAAGGGAAAATTTACACAGAAACGAAAAAAAAAAAAGAAAAAAAATTTTTTTTCGTTGGAATTCGAGAGAAAAAAAAAAAAAACTGGTCTCTCTCTAGCATTCTAATCGAGTCTCGCGTTATTATTAGGAAGAGAGAGAGAGAGAGAGAGAGAGAGAGGCAGAAGTTAATTGAAATGGGAAAAGAGAGAGAGAGAGAGAAAGAGAGATAAAAACTCCACGGTTTGAAAAGTGGCGATTATAATCAGGTATTAATCCTCATCACTAAAAGGTAAAAATTATATGTGTGAGTGCTTCGTTCGTTTTCTTCTAGAAACTTCTTAGCTTTGAATATTATAATTTGAATGTTGGACGATTTTTCTACTTCTCTCTCTCTCTCTCTCCTCTCCTCTCCACTCCTCTCTTTTCTTCTCCTAATCCAGATTTGTATTAGTAAATTAAAATGAACTCGAATGTTAAATGTTTAGAATCGTCGAATCGGAGCATTTTAAAATTTGAAATCATTTTTTCCTTAAAAAATAATATCGTGTTCTATAACGTTTAAAAAAATTATAGACGAAAAAAAAAAAAAAACGTTTGAAGGGACAAAAAAAAAACGGGAGAAAAGAGAGAGGGAGAAAAAAAGGTGTAGCAAAACACCTGAAGGGATTCTGGAAATTAAAAGGAAAAAGAAAAAAAAATGGATGAACCCCGAGGCGTAGGCGGAGATTTTAAGGGTCAAATCCCCTCGACTAATCACTTTTCTCGTTGTGACGTCATTAATTGGACCAACCATCCATCCATCCAGCCTTTTCCTCTCGACCAAAAAGAGAAAGAGAGCGAGAGAGAGTGAGAGAGAGATGGATGATTTTTTCGTAAAGGAAACACCGACAGGTTGTTATATGTCCGTTAGCTTGTTCGACAGGTTTCATATATATATATATATTTAATTGTATTGATACGGATACGCGAGGAATCGGCCGTGGGTGAATCGTTATTGTTTTTATTATTATTATTATTATTATTATTATTTACTTAACACCCAACGCACACACGCCGCGTGTATCGAAACAATCATTTACTTCCACGACTCCTTATTAGTTAAACAATGCAGGAGGAAGGCCAACATGGAATTGCGAGATGTTAACTCCCAAACGTGCGAGAGTTTATCATCATCATTATTATCATCATTTTTTTTTCCTATATTACGCAACCGAGTAGGTGATTTTTACTTTGAAAACCGACAGATCGACTGCGACGTTCATGAACGCTTTGTTATCATTCAGGCACGCACGCACACCTGGACAACAAGTACCTGGAGAAAAAGAAAAAAGTTTTTTTTTACGTTGGCGGTCGAAGGTTAAACAAAAAAAGGTAGAGGAAGCCTTGACGACGAATAAAAAAAAAAGAAACCTGGAGGAAAGTAGATAGATGGCAGGTGTCGCCGATGGAAGGTCATCATCGTCGTCGTCGTCGGGATGCTGCTGTCTTTTCAACGTTAACCTTTTCTCCCTGGTTTTCTCACGAGTACTTCATTTGATCATCATCATCATCATCAACAACACCCACGAGGAGTATTTTTTATCGAATTCGATCGAATTAAGGTTGTGAATTAAGATCGTGGCAGAGGTCGCGGTGGTGGTGGTGATGGTGATGATGACTGACTGACATACGTGAGAGGATTTTTTTTTTTTTTTTAATATTGGTACGATCGTGATTTAAGAGTGAGAAAAAGGTTGATGATGATGGTGTTGTTGTTGAAAAAGATTTTCCAAAACGAATCAATTTAATTGTAATTTGTTTCATCTTGATAAAATATATATCTGGGGGGAAAAAAAAAAAAAAAATGTAATCAAATTATTAAATGTGTGTCGAAGAAGGATGATTCGAGTATAAAAGATAGAAAGAGTGAGAGAGAGAGAGAGAGAGAAAAGTGGATGTGGAATTTTTATTATGATTTACGACCGAAGTGAAAAAAAAAAGAGCAGAAGAAGAAAGAAAAAAAAAAAAATTATGCGAGGTATTTATTCCAGGGATCCAGGTAGTAGAGTTGTAGTATATCTGGAGCGTTTCATTTTTCTTTTTACTATTATTGAAATTTTAAAATGAATCGTAACGTCTTTGTTACACGTACGGTTTCCGGGTGTTTTCTTATGTTTTGTATACACGGATGAATTTTTACGACGACGATGATGGATCTCGTGAAAAGTGTCATACGGAATTATTATTATTATTATTATTATTATTATTATTATTAAATTAATTCGATTTTTTTTTTTTTTGTTCATGTTGCAGTTTGCATCGGTACGAATGGTCGTATGTCGGTGCCATCGAACAGGGAACACCATTATCGTAACCTTCGGGAAAGGTACACGAATTGCAGTTACGTGGACGGAAATCTCGAATTGACGTGGATCGAAGATGAAAATTTGGATTTGAGCTTTTTGCAAAACATTCGTGAAGTCACGGGATACGTTCTCGTGTCTCACGTCTACGTCAAAAGAGTCGTGCTCCCCAAACTCCAGATAATACGAGGGAGAACACTTTTCAAACTCAGCATCCACCAGCAGGAATTTGCTTTGATGATTTCACTATGCAAAATGCACACGATCGAAATGCCGGCTTTGCGGGGTAAGTTTTTTTTTTTACGTAATTATCTCTCGAGCGATCGATCGATCGACTTATCGATTACAAACGATCGAGTTAGTTTTATTATCACGTGGTTAATCGTTAGGAAGAGAGAGAGAGAGAGAGAGAGAGAGAGAGAGAGAGAGAGAGAGAGAGAGAGAATGGCAAACGCAAACGAAAAGGAAAAAAAATTATTTACGTGGGATAAAACAACAAACGTTTGTTTGCAAAAAAATCATAATAAATAATTTGGACTCCATTTTGTTTTTTCTTCTTCACCTTCATTCGGTGGGAGTCGATGATGATAATAATAATAATAATAATTAAACATCCTGTTAGTTTTGTTTAAACTATATCGTAATTTTAAGTTTCTTCTTCATTCCGCGAAAAATCCGCCACTGGAGTCGTCGCGAAACCACCGTAAATGCATGCCACGACATCAACCTTCCTTCCTTCCTTCCGCCCCCCTTCCCCCGTCCAACTTGTCCCTGAAGTCCATTAATCCATTTCAGGTTTTGCAAACGTGTGTGCGACATCATATTCAATATGGGTGACAAAAACAACTTTTTTTTATTTCGGGCGAAAAATTCTTTGAAAAATTCTTCGTCGTTTAATGGATTCGAAGTAAATCTACGCGTTTCGCAGAATTTTCTCTCTCACGTCATTATCATCATTATCATAATGGCAACCTTGTTAAAAAAAAAAAAAATCATTTGAGTGGAGGGGTAAGGGGGTACACAACGACGACAGGAACGACAACGACAACAACAACAACAACGTATTGGCTTGACGTGATGAACATTAACGTAAAAGAAAAAAATCGTCGTCATCATCATCATCATTATCATTTCAGGCTCTTTTTTTTTTTTTTTTGAGCTTACCATTGTTTTAAATGAAACGTTAAGCAAAAAAAAAAAAAATTATTATTTACAATGTAAATAAAATTAAAAAAAAAAAAAAAAATAGTAACAAACAAACAAACAAACAAGCGAGCAAGCAAGCAAGCAAACAACATTGATGTCGAAATTGATTTATTTAGGATTCGTTTCGCTAGGCTTTTAAATAGATAATCGTTTTGTTATTGTTAATAAAGTTGTTTTTGTTGTTGTTGTTGTTGTTGTTGTTGTCGTTCGTAAAAAATAAATAAAAAAATTTTAAAATCGTTCGATTCATTAAAAAAAAAAAAAAAAAAAATTGACACAAAATGGCGAACGTGTTCTTCCTGATTGCGATGATGAAACGAAATAAAAAAAATTTTTTTTTTTTTTGGATCAATGATATGATAATAACCGGAATCGAATAAAAAAGTTAAAAAAACTCGTTCGATATATCGAAGAAACATGTCGTCGTGGTTAAGTCGTTTTGTTTTTGTTTTTTATTATAATAAAAGAGATTAGATAATTGTCGTACGAACATTCTGGAATAATGTTTTTACTTTTATTATTATTATTATTATTATTATTATTGTTGTTGTTTTTTTTTTAATAATAATAATAATAATGATTATTGTTTGTTTAATTAGATATTTTGGCGGGAGGAGTGGGTCTTTTCAATAACTACAATCTTTGTCACATACGAACCATTAATTGGAAGGAAATAATCACCGGACCCGGATATCACGACGTATTCGTATATAATTTCACGTCGCCGGAGAGAAAGTGCAAATCTTGCGATCCGAGTTGTCCGAAAGGATGCTGGGGAGAAGGACCGGAAAATTGTCAAAAATTTTCAAAGCTCAATTGCAGTCCGCAGTGTTCGGAGGGAAGGTGTTTCGGACCCAATCCGAGAGAGTGTTGTCATTTGTTTTGCGCCGGAGGTTGCACGGGTCCGAAACAAACTGATTGTCTCGTAAGTCCCCCCTCATCGAATATGTTGATGATGATGAAACTCTCCTGGAAAGTAAACTCTGTCTCAACTCGATTTTTTTCCTTGCAGGCTTGCAGAAATTTTTACGACGACGGTGAATGCACGCAAGAGTGTCCCTCGATGCAAACGTATAATCCGTCGACGTATTCTTGGGAAAACAATCCGAGAGGTAAATACGCGTACGGTGCGACGTGCGTGAAAAACTGTCCGGAACACTTGCTCAAAGATAACGGTGCTTGCGTGAGGAGTTGTCCCCCGAACAAGACTCCCTACAACGGAGAATGCGTCAATTGCGAGGGAGCGTGTCCGAAAACGTGTAAAGGAGTCGAATCCGATGGGAGCGTGCACGCCGGAAACATAGATAATTTCAAGGGATGCACGATAATCGACGGTTCGATATCGATACTGGATCACAGTTTCAAAGGTTTCCAACAGATATACACGAATTACTCGTTCGGACCTAGGTACCCGGAAATGCATCCCGACCGACTCGAAGTTTTCAGCACTCTTAAAGAAGTCACGGGATTCATCAACATACAGGGATCGCACGAGGATTTCAGGAATCTTTCCTACTTCCGGTGAGTGGAATGAACCTTATTGCTGCGTGAGTGAGTGGGTGCGTGCGTGCGTTTTTGCGCGCCTACGCACGGACGCCATTTTACAAAATTTTTAATTATCCTCCTGACTCATTTTCCGAATCGACGTTGTCAGATACGAAAATGTTTTTTTTCCTTCTTTTTCTCCCCCTCCCCTCCCTTCCTCTCCCGTCTTCGGCTCGTTTTCTCCTCCCATAATTTCGATCATTTTTAATTTTAATTTTCTGATTAATTATTTATTTAATAAAAAATAAAAAATAAAAATTTTTTTCTTGGAAAATCTTTCTCTTGGAAATTTCTGGAATTGTTACCAACATCATCATCATCATCATCATCATCATTATTATTATTAATTACTTTTAAAATGTATTTTTTTTTTTTTTTTATTAGCGACCTTGAATGATGAGTATTGAATTTTTTTTGTTTTTTAAGAAACCTGGAAATAATCGGCGGTCGTACCTTGACGGAATATTTCGCATTGTACATAGTTAAAACATCTCTGACGTCACTCGGACTCCAGTCCTTGAAGAAAATATCATCTGGAAGCATTGGAATATTGGAGAATAAAGAATTGTGTTTTGCTGATGGCGTCAATTGGACGAACATAAAAAAATCAATCGGTCATAAAGTCCTCATTTTACAAAACAGAAACGAATCCGATTGTGGTGAGTAAAAAAAAAACAAACAAACAAACACCAAAAAAAAAAACAAAATGGTGGAATGATTTTTTTTTGCTGATGAAAATTTCTTGTGCAATTTAAGATTCGAAAAAAAAAAACAAAAAAAAAAAAAAAACATAAACAATGGAAAAATTTTCTGTTGTTTTCTAAAAATGAAACAATGACGATTTTGTTTTTTTTTGTTTTCTTCTGCTTCGAATTAATGAATAAAAAAAAAAAAAAAAAAATCTTTTTTTATTGTTACAGTGAAAAAAGGTTTGGTTTGCGATCCTCAATGTTCATCGGAAGGTTGTTGGGGTCCCGGTCCAAAACAATGCATTTCTTGTATTAATTTCAAAAACGGAAACGAATGCGTGCAAGATTGTAACTCAATCAAAGGGTAAAGGAAACGATGATTTTCTCTCTCTCTCTCTCTTTCTTCCTCGCTTATTCGATATCCTTTAAATTTTTTTTTCCTTTCAGAATGTACACGGCTGGACCTAATTTATGCAAACCGTGTCACGAAGAATGTGCATCAACTTGCTTCGGACCCGGAAACGGAAACTGTACGAAATGCAAACACGTACGAGACGGACCGTTTTGTTATTCGTCTTGTCCGGAAACGAAATACAACGATAACGGAGAATGTAAATCCTGTCATCCGAATTGCGTGAATGGATGCACGGGTCCGGAGAACACGATCGGTCCCAACGGTTGTGCATCATGCGAGAAAGCCATAATAAACGCCGATTTGACAGTCGTGAGTTTTCCATTCCAGAAAATATCCATTCTTCCGATTCTTCGGCATTCTAAAAAAATAATCGTTTTTCTATCTCTCTTTCTCTCTCTCTCGCTCGCAGGAAAGCTGTTTGCCGAAAGACGAACCTTGTCCCATCGGGTATTATTACGAATGGGTCGGACCTCAGTTTCAAGGACCGTTCAAAGAGCTCGCGGGTAAGGGAATATGCAGAAAATGTCATCCGACGTGTAAAAAATGCACGGGCTACGGAATACACGAACAAGTTTGCCAAGAGTGCACGAATTACAAAAGGGGTCAACATTGCGAAGACGAGTGTCCTCAGGATCACTACGTGAACGAAACGACTCAAGAATGTTCGCCGTGCAGTCCGGAATGCAGGGATTGTTACGGCCCCAAATCCACCCACTGTTTCAAATGCAGAAACTTTAGAATTTATCTTGTGAGTAAAAAATGAATGATCGAAATGACGGCAACAATCCGCGATTCGAATCCATCGTTAAAACGGGGAAAAATGTTTTCAGGATGAAAATGGACCGAGGGACAACGACACGGCATTTAATTGCACCGAAGTTTGCCCGCCGGAGGCTCCGTATAAAATATATCCGGAAGACAATCACGAACCCTACTGTTCGTCTCATACGATTGGTGCCATATCGAAATTGTAAGTACAAAAAGTTTTCCCTGGAGTTGAATCGTAATCGTTTGTTAATTTTTTTATTTTCTTTTGTCCAGCGTCGAAAGTGCTCAGTGGCCCGTCATAACGGTCATAATCATTTTCTTGGTCGTCATGCTAGTCTTTTGTCCTTTGTTTTATCAATGGCGCAGAAAGGTCAAAGCGAAAGAAGAAGAAGTTAAAATGACGAGAGTTTTAACCGGTATGGAAGATAGCGAACCTCTGAGACCTTCGAACGTCAAACCGAATTTGGCCAAACTTCGCATTGTCAAAGAAGCGGAAATGAGACGGGGAGGGATTTTGGGTTACGGAGCTTTCGGAACCGTGTACAAGGTAAGGGATCGCACACGACACAAACACTCCGCATCGTGACGACAGTGATGATAATGAATTTTTTGGTTATGTAGGGCGTTTGGGTACCGGAAGGAGAAAACGTCAAAATTCCAGTGGCGATAAAAGTTTTGAGAGAGGGAACAAGTGCAAACACGAGCAAAGAATTTTTAGAAGAGGCTTACATAATGGCAAGCGTCGAACATCCGAACCTTTTGCAATTGTTGGCCGTTTGCATGACGTCACAAATGATGCTAGTGACTCAACTCATGCCTTTGGGATGCTTGTTGGACTACGTGAGAAACAATCGGGACAGAATCGGTTCGAAACCACTTTTGAATTGGTGCACTCAAATAGCGAGAGGAATGGCGTATCTCGAAGAGAAAAGATTGGTTCATAGGGATTTAGCCGCGAGAAACGTGCTCGTACAAACTCCGAGCTGCGTTAAAATAACGGATTTCGGTTTGGCAAAATTACTCGACATCAACGAAGAAGTGTACAAAGCCGGAGGTGGTAAAATGCCCATCAAGTGGCTCGCTCTTGAATGCATCCAACATAGAATTTTCACTCATAAAAGTGACGTTTGGGCGTTCGGTGAGTGTGTCACGTGTGTGACGAGGAATTATTATCATTTGTGGTTTTGTTTCATCTTTAAAAAATTTCGTTCTTTATTTACAGGCGTTACCGTTTGGGAATTGCTTACCTACGGTGGTCGTCCGTACGAAAACGTACCGGCTCGAGATGTACCTGAATTGTTAGAAAAAGGCGAGCGTTTGCCTCAGCCTCAAATATGCACGATAGAAGTGTACATGGTCATGGTTAAATGTTGGATGCTTGACGCGGACACTCGTCCGTCTTTTAAAGAATTAGCCGACGATTTTGCCAAAATGGCGAGAGATCCAGGGCGGTATTTAGTCATTCCAGGAGACAAATTATTAAGACTGCCCACGTATACAATTCAAGTGAGTTTTAAACTCGACGGAAAGGGAATTTTTTTCTTTCTTTTTCCCCCCCCCCCCTTTTATCAAACTAAAAAAAAAATTCTCGACGTTTGACAGCAGCAGGAAAAAGACTTGATAAGGAATTTATCTGCGGCGGACGGTCCCGAAACGGTCGTCGAAGCGGACGAATACCTTCAACCTCAATTTCAAAGGCCGTCCGCGGCCATACTCAGAGGTCATCAATCTTCGAGCACTTCATCGTCTCCTCCGGTGACGCCGACTTTGAAACAATCGGCGGAATCTCCGATTCCACAAAATCAAAACAATTGGGGAAGAGAATTATTGCGATACGCTCATAGTCACAACGGACAAAACAATGCCGTCCTTTCGAGGTACTGCAGCGATCCCATAAGAATCGGCAAAGGTGAGTCACGACGAAGAGTTTTCTTCTTTTCATCCCTTTCGTCATGACGAGAGTGACGTTATTGTCCTTCCTTTCAGATGTCGATGTCGGTGACGAATGTTTCGACGCAAAACCCGCAACCGTGGGCGATTTGAAATTGAACCTTCCGTTAGACGAAGATGATTATTTGATGCCATCTCCGCAACAAACGGAATCCACGACGACGTACATGGACATAATAGGAGATAAATCAACGGGTGAGTACAAAAAAAAAATGATTTCGTATCAGCGACTCTTTCGGACTCTTTCTCATCGTTATATCATACTTGTTTGTGTCCAGACGAGACTGACTATCGAAACGGTGGATTTTCACGAGGTCATCATCATGCTCACCCGCACTCTCATCCGCCCGTGACCGTCGTCAAGGGTAACACATGCATAGACAATCCGGAATACATAATGAACAGCGATCAAATGGTGGAGGGTGATTTAGGGATACCCGTCGTCGTGCCTCCGAGTCCCGGAAACTTAGTCGGAGTTCCCATGAACGTTCCGACGAATCCGACGACGACCGGAAACAACGGTCAAAGACCTTTTTGTGCTCAAAAATCGTCAGAGGAAGAATCCGATCACGAATATTACAACGACATTGATAGGTTTCAAAGGGAATTGCAGCCGCTCAGGGGAAACGAAACAACCGTTTGATATACAAGGTCGAGGACTAGGAAATGTACAAACAAACAAACGGAACAAACGAAACGAAAATCCGTCTTCCATCTTTACGGTTACCACCAAAAGGGTTTTTTAAACTTAGTTAGGTTAAATTTAAAAAAAAAAAGGTTTTCGCGGCGTTCCCCCTCTTCCCCTTTCCCACTTTTTTCCCTCTTCCCTTTTTTCTTCCATCCTTAACTTCCGTTTTCTCTCTTGTCCCCCCCCCCGCACTCCCAAATTCATTATTTATTGTTTTTTTTTTTTTTATATAAATAATTTATTTGTTAGAAATATTTTGATCTCCTTTGCGTAAATTTATAAATTATTATTATTGTTGTTGTTGTTATTATTACTGTTATTATTATTATTATTAATAATTTTTTACTGTTTGACGGGAATTCGGGAATTTGGGACTTTCGTACATTGTTCATATGAGGTGATGTACACGAATATGATTTCCGTCCCGGTTCGAAGGTATCGTTTCGCCGATTTCTAGTGTTATCATCATCGCGACACGGTTTCCGGTGCGCGACGGAATCACTTCCGGAAACGCCCGATCGTTTCCGATTAACGCGATTTTCGCGCCATTTGTGCCTTCACGTCGTCCTAATTCGAGAATCAAGATTTGACAGAAAACGCGCGCGTCGCTTCGATATCAAGTTTGGGGATTGATTGATTGATTGATTGACTGACTGATTGATCCCTCATATTATTATCATTATCGTTATTTTTAATCCGGTCACCAGTAGTAAAACGAAAAAACGCGCGAAAAAAACGTACAAAAAAAAAAAAAAGAAATTTCCGTGCCTTATTATTTACAAGATTTTGCGTAGGTCGTCGATTTTTTTTTTTACGTCGCGACGATGACGTCACTAATAATAATAATATTAATGATAATAATTAACAGTTCCTAATAATAATAATAATAATACTTTTTAATTATTATTTCCGTTCGTACATTTTACGTGAACGAACGTTTAACGGTTTTTTTTTTTTTTTTTTTTAAATTTCAACGAACGCGAAAGACTTGAAGTGAAAAAAAAACTTAAATTAAACGAATCCTGTGATAAATATAATAATAATAATAATAATAATAATAATAATAATAATTAATTTGCCTTTTGTTGCTTTTAAAAAGTGTCGGTTGGTGCGCTGTAATCGTGTTTTTGTCGTCGTCGTCATCGTACCCGCCGCCATTTTTGTTTTTTAACGGATGACATTTTAAAATTTTAGAAAAGAAAAAAAAAGAAAAAAGTTTTTAAATGTACAAATTCGTGTAAAGTTATTTTAATAATAATAATAATGATAATAATAATAATAATAATAAGTTATAAAAATGTGTAAAATTTGCTTGTATGTAATTCGTTTTGTTTTCATTTCGGGTTTCACCATCATTGTTATCGTCAATTATTATTATTATTGTTATCGTTAATCGTATAGACAATGATAATGATAATAGTGATGGGAATCCCTAAGTGAAAAACGTTATAACGAATGCGAATAATAATTGTATATTTGTACATATATATATATATATTAAAATATAATTTTTTTTTTTTGTACAAATTTTAATTAAGAAGAAAAAAAGAATGAAAAAAAAAAAAAAATGACGAAAAAAGAATAAATTTTAATATAAAAAAAAAAAAACGTTGATATATTTTATTTATTTTTACCAATCCTACAAATATAAAAAAAAAGGAGAAATGAGGGGAAAAAAGGAGAAAGGAGGGGAGAAAAGAAGAAAGAAGGGAAGAAAAGGAGCAATGAGGGGGGAAAAGGAGAAAGGAGGGAAGAAAAGGAGCAATGAGGGGGGAAAAGGAGAAAGGGGGGGAGAAAAGGAGAATGAAGGGAAAAAAGGAGAAAGGAGGGGAGAAAAGGAGAAAGGAGGGGAGAAAAGGAGAAATGAGGGGAAAAAAGGAGAAAGGAGGGGAGAAAAGGAGCAATGAGGGGGAAAAAGGAGAAAGGGGGGGAGAAAAGGAGAAAGAAGGGGAGAAAAGGAGCAATGAGGGGAAAAAAGGAGAAAGGAGGGGAGAAAAGGAGAAAGGAGGGAAGAAAAGGAGCAATGAGGGGGAAAAAGGAGAAAGGAGGGGAGAAAAGGAGAAAGGAGGGAAGAAAAGGAGAAAGGGGGGAAGAAAAGGAGAAAGAAGGGAAGAAAAGGAGCAATGAGGGAAAAAAGGAGAAAGAAGGGGAGAAAAGGAGAAAGAAGGGGAAAAAAAGGAGAAAGGAGGGGAGAGAAGAAAAAATGAGGAAAAAAACAAAGAAAATGAGGGAAAATTGAGAGGACAAATAAAAATGAGGGGAATATAAAGAGAAAAAAAGAAAAAATGAGGGGAAATCGAGAAAAATCTAAGGGGACGTTCGTGGAAAAAGAGAAAATGAGGAGAAATCGAAAGAAATCTAAGGGGACGTTCGTGGAAAAAGAGAAAATGAGGGCAAATCGAGAAAAATCTAAGGGGACGTTCGTGGAAAAAGAGAAAATGAGGGCAAATCGAGAGAAATCTAAGGGGACGTTCGTGGAAAAAGAGAAAAATGAGGAAAATTTAAGGGGAAATGAGGGGAATAAAAAAAATATTAAAAACTTAAACTTCTTTAAACTTTTTTTTTTACAATTTTTATTTCTTAATTTTTTTTTCTCTTAAAATTTTTTAAGCCAATAAATATTAAATTTAAAGCGACAAAAAAAAAAAACAATAATAATAATAATTATAATATTAATAAAAAATAAAATTTTTAAAAAGGAAAAAAAAGAAAAAAAAAGAAAGAAAAATTTCTTAAATTTTTTGTAAATTTAACAAGTTCATAAAAGTCTCTTGAGAGAGAAAGAGAGAGAGAGAGGGGGGGGAGGGAGGGAGAGAAAGAGTCACAAAACGAAAGAGGATAAAATGTTTTCCTTTTTCGCTTTGTGCCTTTTTCTTTCCCTCTCACTCTCCCTCTCTCTCTCTTTCTCATTATCCCGATAATTATTATTAATTCATGGTACCGAAAACCGGGTTGTGCCTGCAAATGCTCGGACCGTATTCTTCGTAAGCGCTTTTCGTGTGACAAACTTGATAGAATTCCGGTGTCGAAGCGAGCATGCTTCCTCCGAACCAGACAGCGTATCTTTGCATATGATGAGAAACAACTTGAACTTCGACGGGTTTAGGTTTGATTCTTCCACCGCTGAGCATTTCGCTAACGCTTAACCTACTATCCACGACTCTTCTTATGTCTCTCTGTAATCTCCTACCGAAATCGCGAAACATGGTCGATCCTCCGGAGAGAACGATGTTACGATACAAAGGTCTTCTCACGTCAATCGGACAATTTTGTATTACCGTGTCGACAATTTCCGACAGCGGCGTCGTAAAATCCGGATTGGAAAACTGGAAATTAAAAAAATAAATAAAATTTCAAACATGACGACAATGTATTATTTTAATTATCCTCCTCCTCCTCCTCCTCCTCCCCCCCGTCCTTTTGATTTTCTCCTACCTCGGGATGAAAGAAAATTTCAGGTCCTAAAAACCTTTCGTATCCTACGTCGACATTAAATGGATTTTTCGTCACAGAATTTATACCCTCGTATTTTTTCATCCATTTACCCGAATCCGTGTCGTATTTGGCAAATTCTTTGGCAATGTCTGGACAAATGTAGCAATACCTTTAACAAAAATCAAAATATTAAAAAAAACCAATTTCCCACCATCTTTTCTCTCTCTCTCTCTCTCTGTTCCCTTCTCTCTCTCTCTCTGTTCCCTTCTCTCTCTCTCTCTCTGTTCCCTTCTCTTTCTCTCTCTGTTCCCTTCTCTCTATCTCTCTCTTCCCTTCTCTTTCTCTCTGTTCCCTTCTTTCTTCCTCTCTCTCTCTGTTCCCTTCTCTCTCTCTCTCACCTTTCTTTAATTGCTTTTGCTGTTTCCAAAGATTGTTCTGGAGGAATACCGACTTCTCTTTCTCTCAAAAGAGATTGTATAAAATATGTTATGTTTCTACCGGCGATCGGAATGTGTTTGATACAACTACCAATAACATAGCCTTCAGCCTGTAACAAAAACAAAAAAACAATCAATCAATGATTACTCCAGTCAAACAAAAAAGCATAAGGAGTGTATATACAAACCACTGGAATGACATGGGTAACACCATCACCACTATCGACAACAATCCCCGTAAGTGTTCTCTCTTCGACTGGACGAGTTGCCCAAGAAGCAGCCAATGCTAAAACTGCTTGAACAGCAATGTACAATCCGGGTACATTAAATGATTCAAACATTATTTCTAAAAATAATAATGATAATAATGATGATAAAGCATGTTTTTTTATATATCGAAGGTAAATCAATCAAAATGAAAATTCTTACCGGCTATATATTCTCGATTTTCAGGCGTGTTGAGAGGTGGTTCGGTCAACAAAAAGAAATGATCTTCAGGTTCGGCTCTCAAATATTTAAATATACATTGTTCTAAAAATCTTTCCATCAAATCCCAATCTTCTACCAATCCATGTCTAACAGGATACTGAAAAAAGAAACGAATAAAAAAAAAAAAATTAATTAATTTTTGAATATTCGATATTTAAAATTTTTTTTTTTTTTTTTTAAATGTTTTCGTTTTGTTGTAACAATAATATATATAATAAATTTCATGCATACTCATGTATCCAAAAATTTTAAACACATATTCTTTTTTATAACAACCTTCACAGCATAGCCAGTTGCATCGAATGCTTCATCTCCTATGAAAAAATCTAAATCTTCGACTCCTTTTGTTAATCTTCTTATGGCTTGATCTCCAATTTTAGCACTTTCCTTAATTGCAATTGCTGAAGGAATGATAAATTGGGGTTCTTTGTTTGATGCAAAACCAAGTTTGGTGTACCTGAAACCATAAAATTCTTTTTTAATGAACGAAAGAAAATGAATAAATAAAATGAAGAAAGTTAAAATGAATAATAACGAGAATGATATTTTTATTTAATACACGGGTAACCTTACTTCATCGGTTGTAATTTTTTTGTTTTTGAGATAATTTGTAAAAAAAAAAAACATACCCTGTGCCGACATCAATGACGCATGCCGGTAATCCTCGTTCCATTTTAAAATAAATTACTTTAAACCAATAATAATGGATAATATTTAAAAACTTAAATAAAAAAAAAAATTAATACATAGAAATTAAAAAAATACGACGAGGAACGCCCGTGGGTGACAAATCCGACACCGACACCACCTAGCGGTAATCATCATCGTTGCCAACTTTTGAAAATTCACAGCCTTCTATGACTTTAGTGTTCGAGAGTACACACATTTATTCATTATTGCAAATCATATTTAAATTTGAAAATTACGAATGGAAAAATTATAAAACAAAAAAAAATAAAAAATAAAAACAATTTTATTATTAATAAAACAACATCAACAAAAAACAATAAATAAATAAATCAATCAAGATTCGTCATATTCTTTAACGTGATTCTGTGGTTCCGGATCGAAATGAGGCCATTTTGATATTATTTCGTATGCATTTTTACCCGGGCTCAAAGTATCGAAAGTTGAATTGGCAGCGAGTAAAGAATACGATTTTGATATAATACCATTTTCCAATCCGTATCGTATTAAATATTTAATTCCGTTCGTTTGCATCGTCGTGGGCGTCGATGTTTTCGAAAAATCACCTATTAAATTAATATCGATGTTTCGTCCGTTGATGAACCCTCCGGCTACGTTTCGTCTCGTCCATCCTCTTCCTTCGTAAATGTTTCCGCTTGAATCAATTAGAAAATTATACGCAATGTCGGCAAAATTGAGAGATTGATGATAATCCTGCATTTGTTTTATCAGGATCGAACAAGGTTTGAAATCGTAGCATTGAACGGTTACCGAATGGGAAATGACGACATACGGTATCGGTATTTTCATTTCGATGACGGAAGTCGGCGGTTTACCACCCCAATCTTCTTTTGTGTACATGACGTGATCTTCTTCGTGTACTTCATCCCCTAAAAATTAAAAAATTTTCTCAATTAAAAAACAGAAAAAAAGAGAATAAAACATTAAGAAAACCGAACTCACCCTCCGTCGCAAACGGATTTATTTTAAATTTCGGCCATTTTTTAACAATGTTATATATTTCCGGTGATACTTTTGTGTCGGAAGACGTGGCGTTAGCCGTCGTCACGACGTAATTATTCGACAGATAATTATTATCTAAACCGTATTTGATAAAATGTTTAGTTCCTTCAATTTGAGGATACGTAGGATAATGTTGGGGATTACCCAAAAGGCACAAATATAAACTTTTCTCGTTGGCCGGAAACGGAAGAGAATTCGTCATGTTCCATCCACTATCTTCGTAAACGTTTCCGTCTCCCCCGATGAAAAAATTACACGTGATAAAATCATCAAGGATACCCGTCGAATTCGTTTGAATTCCTTTAATCGTTCTCATGCAAAAATCATAATCGAAACAAGAATCTCCATTTGTTTGCGATACGACGACGTAAGAAACCGGAAGTTTCGTCACGTTATTTTTCGCCGAGTAATTTTTCCTTCCGCCCCACTCGTATTTGTCGTAAATGCAAATATCGGTCGTCGATTTCGACGATGGATAACATTTCGTCACTTGTTTCTCTACGAAATAAATTTTTTTTTAAAAAATAAAAAAAATACGACTTTTAAATATACAAAAATGTATAAAAACAACAACCTTCGACGAAAGGTTTGACATAAATTAAAATAAGAGTAATGGCGGCTCCGATTAAAAGCAATGCTAAACTTATGTAAATCCCATTTGATAAATTAATACATTTTTTTAAATAATTTTTAATATCGTGTGGATTTTTTTCATTCTGTGCATCGACTCCAAACCTTGCCGAACCTGAAATACAACAAATAACAATAAATAAATAAAATCTCTACTAATTAAAAAAACAGAATGGGGTACTTACAATTTTTCAATGAATTTTCAAAAGCCATTTCCTTCATTTTTTTCGCCGCAGATTCTGATAAAACTTTATCTCTAATAATAATTTTTTCACCTTCTTTATTATTCTTACCGACATTGTCACCATCACCATCATCATTACTATTATTTATCGTTATTGAAGAATTCGATGGAGTCGCGTGTTCGTAATTAATTATGGTCACAGGACCGTTGAAATTCGTCTGTCTACCGACTACGAATTCGGATGAATTTATACATTTAACACTAACAACATCAGATTCGACATCTTCCAATGGTGACACATTAAAATTAGGTATAATACCTTTCCAGGTATTTGGATTTTCCACGTCTTTCAAATCCATTTTATTAATCACGAAAACTAAAAACGAAAAAAAAATATATAAATAAATAAATAAAAACAAGATGGATGGATGTTGTCGAGTCCTTGAAAATTACGTCACAATTCCTTATATTTGAATAAATTATATTTTAATTATTTACGTACTTTTACACCATTATTGTCATTATTATTAATCGTGATTTGACAATAAAAAAATTATTTTCTTTTTTTTCAATCGTTAAAAATATTATTAAAACACTTAAACCGTTTGAAATTCACTAACTCAACCCGCACGTTCTTCGCGTTCTTTTTTATTCAAATTCAAATTTTTTCCGTTAAAAACCGATCGTTCGTACGTTTGATCGTTTATATTGACACAATAATTTCACTTAAATACCTGACGCGAGTGATGGCGCTAGTGAGAGAAGGGGGATGAGAGATAGAAAGAGATAGAAAAAAAAATTCAATGTTTAACTTACGAGTAAAAATTCATGTCTACACTACGTTTGTCTTTTTTCTTTGTGTCAAAAATACATAATGAGAGGAGAGTTATAAAATTCGCAACGTAACTAACGACGAGCAACCAGTAAGAACAACTTTTTAATTTTTTTTTTATCTCTCAACAATGTATTTGAAAGCGAAAGACCGTTTCCGTCATATGATTTCAATTGAAAACAACAGTCTTCTTACACTCGATTGATTTTTCCTAAAAAAAAAAAAAAAAGTTGAACATAATTTTGACGTCATTCAGTGTCTGGATTGGAACTTGTGCGTTTTATTTATTATTAATAATTTTAAAATGTGAGTAAAGGTCATTTTTAATAATTTAACATTTCACGCATAATTCGGTGTTTTATTTTTATTTTACTGAGGGGAACACCCTGAGGAGTGATTAAATTATCACATTGAATGGGTAATTATAATTAATTTTTTTAAAAAAATATTTAATTAGGGTTTTCCCAATATTTCAAAACGTTCGATTCGATATAAAAAACCGTTGAACCGTTGTTAAGGAAAAAAGACGTTAAAAAGCTTCTTCTTCTTTTTTTTCATTTACCTGTTTTTTTACTAAATCAGCATTAAAAATATAAACGAAAATTCTAAGAAATATGATAAAGTTTTTATTTTTTTTTTCGGTTTTATCTTTTAGTTTAAAAAAAAAACAAAAGAGTATAATATTAGGTTTTTTGTAACCGTCATTTTCGAAATGAAATTTTTTTTGAATTAATTAAACTTTTATTATAATAATTTATGTACGATAAAAGAATAAAATCGTTTACCTTTTACATATATATATATATATATGCATATACATGATGATGTGAAATTATTTTTCTAATTTTTTGTATGTTCGTTACATTTGTAACTGTCATTTTCATTACAAATAACGATTCAGCGGTTTTAATTATTTAATTTAATTAATAATTATAATTAAACGGAATTTCAATTAGAAAATAATTCTATTTTACTTATTCGTCAAATGTTTCGTAACGGTTAAAATTCTGTTATAAAAAATTTTTTTTTTTTAATATCGTAATTAATTTGCAATAAATAACGAAAGAATCGCATAAAATTATTATTTATTTAATAAATTATTAAATTAATTCGAAATTAAAATTATAAAAAACGCGCAAATTTCAAAAAGAAAAAAAAAAAAAACGTTAACGAATATAACAAAAAAAAAAAAACGCCACTGTGCAAAGTGTTCGACGTTAGAATTCGTTCGAATCTTTTCAAAATTTGAAATTTTTGTAAACGGCGGTGCCAACTTAATTTTTGTCTTCGATCGAAATAAAATTTCCCCGCCAAATTTAAAAGTAAACAAAAAACGATTATTGATTGGATGGGCGGAGAAGGGGGGGCGGAAATTTTTTATTTTTTTTATTTTTTAATTTTAACGAAGTGAGACAAACAAACAAACAAACAAACAAACGACGCAAAAAAATAGTATTAAACGTTTGTCGATTCGAATAATAAAGAAAATGCAAATAAAATTTTATATAGGGTGGAAAACGTTAAAGAACGGGTCATGATGGGTCTTGGGGGCGGGGCAAGGGGAAAACCGTTAAAAAATGATTTTTAATTAATTAACGACGAACAAATTTCACTAATAATAATAATAATAATAATAAATATTTATTTTTTTGAATAATTAATTATTGAACTTTTTGATACTTAATTAATAATTAATTAAGTCTTTTATGAAAAATTCATTATTTTAAACGACATTTTTTTGTTTTTTTGAAAAAATTGCGCGTTTTTTTTCTCCCCGACTATTTGCAAATTAATAATAATAATAATAATGATAATTTTAAAAAACGAAAAGTTCAAAAATTTTCCGATTCAGTGACCTAAAACGAAAACGAACAAGGAGAAAAAAAAACGAAAAAAAAAAAAACATAAAATGCAAATGAAAACGTAAAAAATAATTTTTTTTTTTTTTCGTGTTCGTGAGGTTGGCAACTTTGAGGGGAAGAACTGCAAAAAAAAAAAATAATGATAATAATAATAATTTTATGCGACAAACACAATAATTGGTTAACAACAATTATGCGAATAAAAAAATAATTTTTTTTTTTAAATAATTTTATTTATTTATTTATTTATGTACATCAAGACTTAAATTTAAAAATTTTATTTTATTTTTTTTTCACTCACTCTCTTTACATACTATTTATGTTTATTTTTTTTTTTTAGCGTACATACACGTGTGTGTCTGTGTGTGTGTTTGTATGCGTGTGTGTTTGTGTGTGTATCGTTTACAATTTATTTACTTAATTATTATTATTATTATTAATATTTAAAATTAACTAAAATTCTAAAAACTTACATGAAAATTTATTTTATTTTTATTTTTATTTTTATTTTTTTTATTCGATCGCGTCGACGACGACGACGACGACGTTTTTCAATAATACAAGAAATATAATAATTATCTACAAACAAACAATGACTTAAACAAACAAACAAATAATATATATATATATATATTTATAAAAAAAAATAAAATAATAATAATAATAATAATGATAAAATTAATAATAATAATAATAATAATTTTTAATACATAATATTTAAAATTTTTGCCGAATACACGTACGAGACGCCATTTTTATAAAAAAAAAATTTCCAAAAAAAAACCGTTATACTACGTCATTTCCTTTACCCCCCCCCTTCACTCATTATTTTCATCACCCCTTCTTCCCTACATTAAAATAATTAGAAGACTAACGAATATAAAATAAATTGAATACTCCGTACTATAGTCTCAATACGAGTCAACGGGTTTTACTTAAAAAAAAAAAATTATTTATTTTTATTAAAAAAATAAAAAAAAAACTTTTGATGACGTAATAAAAAAAATTCGGCATTTCGCGTTTTGCCCGTTTGTTAATCGTACGCGACAGAAATAAAATAATAATGATAATGATAATAATAATAATAAAAATCTAGTTTTCCACACGCTGGAAATTGTCATATCTTTCTACAAATATATATTTAAAAAAAAAAAAAAAAAAAAAAAAAACGTTAAAATTTAAAAAAAAAAATTTTTTTTTCTTGCTTTTATTATTATTATTATTATCATCATCATCATTAATAACAATAAGTTGGATAATTAATTTAATTTAAAAAATAAATATTATAATAATAAAAAAAAAAAAAAAAATTTTTTTTTTTTTAAATTTAATTTTCCGCGTTTGTGTTTTTCATTGTTTTTGTTTTTTATATTATTTATTTATTTTTTTTACATGTTGTAGGCTACGTAAATCGGATCGAGTTGATCGGCGAGAAAACCATCACGTAAATGCATTCTTTGTTTTTCTCCTCTTGAATTGATTGGCACGACTCCGGGATCTACGACCACGACGACTCCCACGATTAAATGATGTTCTTCTAAAACGGTGTTCGTCACGAGCGGAACCAAATCCAAAGCTTCGTTTTCGTTACCGTCTAATTCGACGACCACCACGAGAAGATTGGTCCACGTGAATACGGCGCTGCGGTAACACAAAAACAAAAGTAAGTCAAAAATCCGATCATCAAGAGAGAGTGAGAGAGAGAGAGATAGATGGATAGATTGATAGGTAGATAAAGATAGATAGATAAATGGATAGATGGAGATAGATAAGTAGATAGATAGATATAGGTAAATAGATATAGATAAATATTTAGATAAATGGATAGATAGAGATAGATAAATAGATAGATAGATATAGATAAATAGTTAGATAAATGGATAGATAGAGATAGATAAATAGATAGATAGATATAGATAAATAGTTAGATAAATGGATAGATAGAGATAGATAAGATAGATAGATAGATAGATAGATAGATAGATAGATAGATAAATAGATAGATAAATAGATATAGATAAATAGATAGATAAATAGATATAGATAAATAGATAGATAAATCGATAGATAGATAGATGGATAGATATAGATAAATAGATAGATAAATGGATAGATAGATAGATGGATAGGTAGATAGAGAGAGAGAGAGAGAGAGATTAATATTAATAAGAAAATCGTTTTCTCACCATTCGGCAATTTTCTTATGACATCTCATAACGCTATTTTCAATATCAATCGGATGATATCTCATTCCCCGCAGCATCACAGTTTCATCCAAGGCCCCGACGACAAAAACGGCATCGTGTAATTCTAAAATTTATCATTAATAAAAAATTAATAATTAATTATTATATAAACGAACGACTTTGAACAAAAAAAAAAAAATTATCAATTTTCTACAATTAAATAAATGATAAAAAGAAAGACGACGGTGAATTATGAAAATGATGCGTTACATTGATCGGCCGGTCATCGTCGTGATGATGATAACGAAGTCGGTGATAACAATTTGATGAATATTAAATGTGAAATGAATTTCCCTTCGGCCATTTTAATTTTTCTTTTCGGGATCAATCAAAAAGGAAAAGGAAATTTCGTATGTAAAAAAAAAAAAAAAAAAAACGACGTCGCGAGCGAGTGAGCGGGAAAGGTAAAAAGCACGTTAGTCCCTTGCATTTTTTCAATGCACCGATTTTTTCGAACCAACAGAGGAAAAAAAAAAACAAAATGGCGCCGTTGTAAGAAATTGTCGAATGAAAATCCAACATCCCAAAATACATACCTCGAATTATCGTGTTAAAGATGATTGTGTGTGTGTGTGTGTGTGTGCGAGTGAGTGAGTGATTGTGTGAATGAAATTATTATTATTATTATTATTATTATTATTATTATTATTGTTGTTACGATAATTAATTATAATCCACCAGCGCGAAGAAAGTTCCATTTTTATATGATTTTCATCCTCCAGCGCAAATGGAAATGATACTACTTAATGAAAACAAACCTTTAATTTTTTTTTTGGTTTTTTTTTTTTTTTTTTTTTAGTTTGATTTTGATTTTGTTGTTATCCGGTGTCGGTGATGAGCAAAGCGAGATGATTACGTCGAAGAGGGAGCGGCATGCAAACACAAAAAAAAAAAAAAAAAAAAAAAAAAAATAGAATTTCACACCAAGCTTAGTAATGTTAATGAATGTGCACCTGAGGTAACCGGGGATGGAGCAGGGCCTAAGCCTAGATCTGAGCCAGGGGGCAGGGAACTATTGTTCTCCTCACCTCCACCTGAACCTGAAACATCGTTTCCGTCCTGTTGTGTTCCTTCGGTGCGTCGAAGGAAACCCAAATATCCGGTTCTCGCGTACACTTCGCTGTTCGAACCGGTCACGAGTTTGGCATTGAAATGATCTCCGTAGTCGCTGTCGTCGCCGTATATCGTGAAATATCCGCTCGCGTTGTGAGGTGACTGAACCCAAATCTGAATTGCAAACAAACAATACGAATTACGACGCTTTAGAAAATTTTCAAAACCGGAAAAAAGAAACAATGTAAATTAATTCAATATGAACGCTCACTTCTCCTAAATGCGAATCACCACATTGGCCTTTGGTTTCCGGATTGGCTATTATGACTTTGACTCCGGGTAAAAGTTTACCAGATTCCATGACGCATAGAGAATGCGGACTACCTCGTTCAACGAGAGAAACTCTGTCGTTACGAAGAGCTCTTAAATCCACGTAAACGGTCGATGGTTCCGGACTGGAAGCTCCCTAAAAGAAATTCAAATTAGAAATGCGAGGAAACAGAGAGAGACAGATGGAGAGAAGGAAAATCATTTCCGTTCGTAAACCTGTAGACAAATGGCCACGTTGACTCGACATCCGAAACTCGTTGAGACGGCTCTGGGACTCAAACCGAGAGCAGAAAACAATTTTGAAAAAGAACTTGTCAGACTTATTCTCGGTCTTTCTTCTGCCACGACGACGCACGTTCTAACGCAGCTTAAATTAACGTTTCTCTGTTTGAGAAGATTTACGGATGAGCCCAAGCCCTTTGTACATAATTCCATGACGCCTTGAAACATAGAAAAAGGAAAAAAAAATTAAAAATCATTCTCGAAAATGACGTCATTCGAAAATAAAATAAAACGGACTTCGTACTGCTTACCATACGAACAAAACGTGTCTCTAACTCGATAATTACTAACAGCCGTTAACCACAACGCCGGATTAACTTCGACTTCAGACGGAGGAATAAGAATCGAATGATGACCAGAGTATATGCTGGAAGAAAAAAAATTGGACACTAAACGTGAAGAAAACAAAAAAAAAAAAAATTTTAAGGAACGTTCAAACTCACCTGCTCAGGCACCACAATGCAAAACCTAAACCGCAATAAGGATCCAAACAGAGTGCGATGTGTCTAGACGGATACAGTTCGCAAGCCAATTTCATTGACTTGCACAATGAGGTAACCGCAGCGTGAGACATTTTTATACCGGCCAACATTCCCGTCGTCGACACGCTGGAAAAAGAGAAATCATTGAAATACAATTGAAACCCGTTCGTCCGGATGCGTCAAGCGATAAACGCATGAACCACACGTACCTGAAATCGAGATAAGCCAACATTTCCGCCGTGGGAGCTCTGTACAACATGGGCAATTTCTTTTTAGGCATGTCATCCGTGTCCAACGTTATCGGCCACGATTTTATATCGACAACGTTGCTCGCTTCTTTCGACCTAAGGAGTTTTATTACGTTCGCATTCGATAGGACTAATACGGATTTGCTAACGTCAACGATCATTCGAACGGTGGGAAGTGTCGTTTGTAAATTTTGCGGATGCGGAGGCCTTATCGTCACGGGTACGGCACCTGTTTTCGTGGGAGAAAAAACAAAAATTAATTTTACGCGTGCAAGGCCACGTGTGGTGGTGGGCACGCGTGGAAAATTTCACTCACCGACGTATAAACAACCGTAAAAGGCGCATATGAGATCAATTCCTGGCGGGAATATCAAGGCAACGTGATCACCCGTGTTGATTTTCCCTTTTTCTAATAATAAATTCCCAACTCTTTCCGCTCTCTTGTGTAGTTGCGAACACGTCAAAAGCGTCGTGGCCGTTCCTTTCGCGTTCAACAAGCTAAATATAACGTGATCCGCCGTGCTCGCAGCTCTCCACCGTAGGGTTTCCGAAATGAATTGATACTGGAAAGATAATATTTATAATAATAATAATAATAATGATGATGATGATGGAGGGAGGGAGGGAGGGAGCGTTGTCGTTTATCGTTTCTCGCAAATTAATCCATCATAATTTTACCTTTCTTGCAGAATCGGATTCTTCATCTATCATTCCCATGTCTCTTCCCTGAGCCGAAGCCAATCGATTTCCCTGGACTAAATTTCCAACGATGACGGATGCCGGACCGATGTCTGTAACAAAGTTCGCAGCTGGAAAGCCACATCATAAAAAATTCGAAATTATAGAAAAACAATAGAAAGATGTAAGATTTTAGTATGTATAGAGTTTTATTATTATTATTATTATTATTATCGATATTATTCGGTCAGTTTTGTGCGGAAAATTTATTTATAAGAAACATAGAGAAAGAAAACGGAAACGGAAAAAAAAAAGAAGACGAAGAATAATTTTCTAAATTTGCATTAAAATGTTTGTTCCGATTCAAAAAAAGAAAAAAAAAGCCGAACGAGTGAGAGAGAGCGAGATAGAGAGAGAGAGAGAGAGAAATAGAGAAAGAGGAAGCAAGCATAACCTACCTGGATGAACTTCACGTGGTTTGGGCAAATTGGTAACACAGGTGTGAGGGCACAAAAGAACATTAGCAGGATGTAAAGTCCCTTCTAAATATCTTCTTTTCGTTTCCGACAAATGAATTCCTCCCAACGGGGTTTTTGGCAAATAATTGGGCGGCACCAATGCCAGGCAGTAAATACCGACTTGATGGATGGAATCGACGGCTTGCAAAACTCTCGACATCCATTGAAAACTCTAAAAACAAAAAAAAATTTTTAACGTTTTTATAAAACCGTTTGTTCGTTCGTTCGTTTGTTTGTTTGTTTGTTCGTCGACAAACTCGAATTGATAAATAACCTCTTCTTCGCTGCATTCGGGCCTCTGTTCCGCAATGACGCAAATCCTTTCGTCTCTTAATACTCTTATGCTGAAAACGGCGATTCGACCTCTGTAAATGAATCTCATGGGTTCCACAGCCAAAACAGTTGCTATTATATCGTCCGCGTTATGTTTTCTACCCGTGACGGTCATTAAACCATCACGTGATCCGCATACGAACACCAAACCTCCCTTTAAGAAAAAAAAAAAAAATTAATTTTTTCGTGAAAAAAAAACATTCACGACGTAACGAAAGGATATTATCGTACGGGTCCTAAAAATCCTAAAAGTCCACTTCTTGTGTATTCAGCATCGCCCAAAAGACTACCGTCGGCTTGCAATGGCTGAACTTTGAACGTGCTATTCGTCAACCCTTGCAAACCCCAATATTGACTCGCCGTTGCTCCCGAATTAACACAGATTTCACCTACTTCGTCAGTCTTGCATAAATATGATGTTCCTTCGATTTTCACAACCACAATCACACCTGGAAAAAAAAAAAAAACCAAAAAAAGGAATGATGAACGGATGGAAAACCCAAACGACGAATCGAACGAAATCGCTGAAAATGTTTAACTCACAACCAGGCATGACTTGACCGCAGTCTTGAAGCGTTAAAGAAGTCAAAGAATTTTCCTGATCGACTCGTACCACGCCGAAACTTAATCCCGACATGGATAAAACTCCTCTTCCCGTCGCGTTGACTCCGGCACGACCGGGTCTTCTGATCGACACGGTGAGTGCTTCGCTCGATGACGCGCACGGACATATGGCATCGGAACGAAGACCCTTCGATTGGAACACAGATAGGAACTGATCGCAAGACGAAAGCGACCACGGATTAGCTCCGTCGGCAACGAGAAGAAGTCTTAACGACGACAGGCTAATGTCTTTGTGATCTTTTGTTGCTAGAAGGCCCCAATGCAAATCCCTCGATTTGACGACGGCTATGCTCGCTGGAAACGACATGAAAACGTTGTAACGTAACCGGGTGGTGGTGGTGAGGAGGGAAGGAAGAAAACGGAAACGGATATACGCACCTCTGTATTTTGTTATCATTTGCATCCAAGAAGCCGGGTTGACTTTCATTAAAGCGTAGGGTATGAATATAACGTGCATCCCGTTTAAAACGCTCGTTAAAACGCTATGCCAAAGACCTACTTCTCTTTTAAAATCTAATACGCAGACCATGTTCTCTCCTTCCGTATAATTGCACGCCATTGTTAAAGTTCTGCAGTGGGATAACATGGCCACTCTCGTGACGGTCACACCCATAACAGAACCATCTTTATCCGTCGTGTACTGTAACACAAACAACAAAACATTAATCGTGACGACGACGACGAAAAACTTTCTGCGACTAAAATCGAAATTTACTTCTATGTAGGCAGGAGTGTCGTCGGTTAATTTAGGAGGCGGTAACCAGTCTTTGGGAGTTTTTGCCAAATGCTCGGTGACGAACCATTGTAATTTGGGCCAACCTTTAAAAGCGACCACTTCTCCCGTCGTGACTTTCGGCAATCCTTTCAAACAAGCCTCGGAGGTGAGTGCGACGGAAATACCGCAGCTTCCCAAAAGGAATCCGATTTGTTGGGAACCCGCATCCTGAAATATATATACACATACGATTACATACAAAATCGAAAAGCGATATATCGAAAAGTGATATATCGAAATCACCAACAACTCACCCTTCTCGTCAAGGGTACTTCGATGGGAACGGGAACGATTCCGGCTTGAAGACACCCATAGAAAGCACATAGAAAATTAATTGGATCGTTATTCGGATAAACGAGAGCTATTCTATCACCAGATTTGAGCGTTGTTTCCTTGCTAAACGATCTGTTTAGTAAAGTGTAAGCTATTTTTTGAGATCTACTGAGCAATTTTCCGTAACTTAATGAAGTTATTAGTTTTCCGTTCGGATCTAAAACCGTTGCGACGGGAGCTTTAAACGATGCCGACCCGTACCTTTGAATGGCAGCTTCTAAATTACGTGGTAACCCTGATGGCACCTGAAACGAAACGCAACAAATAAAACAGTGTCAACAACATTACCCAATCGGAGAAATGGGTACACGTAAACTGAGGACTTACAACAAGTTGTTCGCCCAATGCCGGAGTCATGGTGCTTCCTTCGGGCTTTGGAGCGTTCGGATCTTTCGGATTTGCGGCTATTTCTAATTCTATGTCGTCATCTTCGTAAAATTCCGGTAACGGTCGCCTTTTGGGTCTTTTCAACGTATTGAGTAACTGTTGTATTTTCGCCGATACTTTCCACCTACCCGTACCCGTTAGAGTACCTGTTCGTAAAAAAAAAAAAAAAAAAAATTAATCGATAAATTTTTAATTTTTCGTTTTCGTTTCCGTTTCCGGTTTTATTATTTTCATTATTATTATTTTTTTGCACAGGTGTTTAAAAAAAATTCAAAACGGTCGGGGTTCTTGAAAACAATTTATCTTTTTACACGAAATCATTTTTTTTTTTTTTTTTTTTTTTTAAACCGTACTTGCTTTTAAAAAAATTAAACGTCAGGAAAACTGGAGGAAAAAAAAAAAAATTTAAATTTGATGTGACACACTCGAAGGAAAAAAAAAAAAATTCAAATTGTAATAATTGAAAGAAAAAAAAAAACTTTGGAAACTTTGGAAAAAAGAAAATGGCGGAAACCGTCGTCAATGGCGGCAATTGTGACGAATACGAAAAGGAAACGTTTTGAATTTATACATAAAAAAAAAAAGAAAAAGGAAAAACTTTAAAGTTGGTAAAAGCAAAAAGTTGGCATCCCTTTTTTTCCTTTTCCTCTTCCTCTTTTTCTTTTTACCCGAAACCGGATCGGACAACTTTCCCATTTCCACCTCCCACTCCCCATCCCCCATCCCCCCATCTCACGAAAATTTAATTTCCTTCGGTTGCAACGTGGCGCGGCACAAAAAGAAAAGAAAAGAAAACTTTTTTTTTTTTTCCTTTTATTTTTCCTTTAGAAACAAAAAAAAAAAAAAAACTTAAAACTCGAAAGATAAAATAATATTCGAAATTTTTACCCCCCCCCCTTCTCGAATAACGTGGCAGAAGAAGAAGAGGAAGAAAAATTTACGCGATCACGATGATACTCACCCATGCTTTCGTCTGATGCCGAAGATTGCCTCGATTGATTGTACCTGTTCACCCTGTCGGCAGCTGTCAACCTTCTAGATTGTTGTGCCGTGTTGTGCGTGACGTCAGGTGGTTGAGAATCTGCAAAAAAAAAATCACGTTCGCTCCGTTATTATTATTATTATTATTATTATTAATTTAAAAGAATAAGAAGAAGAAGAAAAAGTCACTCACATGATCTCAAATTGTGCATAACATTCGACAAATCCGTCATTTCCAAAGGCGGCGGTTTACTTCTTTTCCTTTCATCTCGCGTTATGGGTTCCTCCCAAACCGTATGATTCGGACCGTTTGTTATCCTAATAACAATAATAATAATAATAATAATAATGATAATAAATAAACGAAAACCGATCATCGGCGTTTGGACTTGTGTAAAAAAAAAAAAAAAACGTGGAGGAAGAAGAATAAGAACGAGGATATTAAATCGAGCATGAGATTAGCCACCCACCACATGCCGCCAATAATTAACAGCTGGATATAAAAAAAACAAAAAACCCCTTTTGGAATATTGCGAGGAGAGGAGAGAGAGAGAGAGAAGGGGAGAGAATAAATTCTTACATAACTTCACATCGTCATTATCATCATCATCATTATTAATTTACGGTCGCCATATTGGAAAAAAATTAAATGGACCGCTCTTGAACGGTGGGGGGAGGGGGAAGGAGGTCGCGTAAGCGGTCGGTGAGAATAATTAATTAAATTACCCATATTTCAAACGATATGCACTTGAACGTTTTCTTCTGCTCCCCCCCCCCTTCGAACCACAAGATGAAAATGAAAATAATAATAATGATGATAATGATAACAAAATGAGAATTTCATATCGTCGAGGCCGATCAGGGACAGGGGGGCAGGAGGCGGGAGGAAAAAGGAAGGAAAAAGAAAAAACGTGTTGCAAAAATTCTTTTTAAAAATCCAACCGAAAGGAAATCAATCGAAAATCGATTTGTCCAATATGGCGAGAGAAAAAGAGAGAGAAGGGAGAGAGAGAGAGAGAGAGAGGAAGATGAATCGGTCATCGATTAATTATCGATAAAATCGTAAGCGACCTCGAAACCTCGAATTTATCAAAAAAAAAAAAAAAAAAAAAAACGAACAAACGAACGACACATTTCTACCATCATCGGTCACATAATAAAGCGTGGGCCGTCCTTACCCGCACCACCACCACCACCACCCCCACCGTCGTCGTCTTAATTTTAAAAATGGCGTCTGTCTTCTGATATGAATAAATCAGAAGGCGTGTGTTTATGTCTCATTATTTATATTTACGAGTATTTTAATTACATAAAAAAAAGAAACTGTTGTCGTGTATGTTAATGAGTTACCATACATACTCCTTTGGTTTTTTCGCTTCCTGCCACGACGTCGTGGTTTTTTTTTTCTTTTTCTCATTAATCATTCCTATTACACGTTAACTTGTTACAATACAATTTTCGATACATTCGTTGTTTGTGCGTGCGTGCGTGCGTGCTTGCGTGAGTGAGTGCGTGTGTGCGTGCGTGTTCGTGTCGTGCCACATGTTGTTCTTACGTAAGAATAATGTCGGTAGTCAGGTAGTAGTGGTAGAAGTAGTACTACTACCACGCAGTCCTTGGCAAATGATAATTTATTTTATACAAATGGCCTCGAGTATATTTTTACTACCTTTGATATAAATTATTTTTTTCAAACGGAGGGGAGAGGGGGGGGGTGAAAAGGGTGGGGGAAAAGTTTCGTATCGATACGTTCGAGAAAGGAGGAATGTCAAATAGTATCTCTCTCTCTCTCTTTCTCTCTCCCCATCCTCATCCTTTTTTTTTCTGAACGCGTTTCTCGGGGGGTATGTTTCGTACCTGGTACTTCTATGCGATTGCCTTTGTTGCGGCGGAGTTTCCCTTGCGGATCCTGTGCTGCTTGTGTCTGATTGGGGTAGTAATTGCGTCGTTCTCGCTCTTTCTCTTTCCGGCGTGCTTTGAACATCTTCGACGTTTTCACCGCCGCTATAATCTCCCGAACTCGAATCTGTGCGTTTTGTACAAAAAAAAGGTTATTTTCTTTTTCGTTCATTTTCATCGAGGTACGGGGGGAGGGTGTCGAGACAGGGGGAAAAAATTACCTGAATCGTGTCGCTCTCTATCGGGACTTTTCGCCATGACCGACGTCCTTTTCGATGGCATAGGCAGCGATGGTTTAGGTCTGTTTTGCATGGCTGCAAGAGCTTGCTGTACGGCTTCCTGCCTGACTTCTGTAATATTTTAAATTTTCATAGCAATTAGAAAACTTTATAAACGAAACAATAAACAAACAAACAAACAAAAAACGACAAACGTCAAGCAAACGAATAATAAAAGAAAAAAACAAATTTTCAGGCCGAAACGTATTAAAGCAAAAAAATCCAAAAAAAAAAAAAAAAATTTTTCCCCCAACTTTTCTTCTCTTCCCACGCTCCTTTCCCCCCGCATCTCCTCGTTCTTTTCTCTCCCTTCCCCCTACCTTAAACCCCCCACCATTTATCTCCCGTTTTCATTCATTTTCTTTTTTTTTTTCTCCCTTTATCGTTTCTTACACAAAATCAACGAAAAAGAAAAAACGCGATGACCGCGAAACGTTACACTCCGATTCGAAATTTATTATTGTTTTAATACAGTTCAACAAACGTACAAACAAACAAACAACAAACAGCAAATTTGATTTTCCTTTATTTTCGTTGTGATTACAAACGAACGAACGATCGAGTTCGACAAAGTAACAACCGGTTTCCGTTTAAAAAAAAATAGGTTCGCGTCGAATAATAATAATAACAATAATAATAATAATAATAGTAATGTTAATAATGATAATAATAATAATAATAATAATAATAATAATAATAATAATAATCGTATCATCCACCAGGTATTCGATCGATTTGTGGAATGATGACTCCCTCTTGGCGTCGCCGAAATGGAAAAGCATATAAACAGGAAACGGGATGAAAAGGATACAGAAGAATGTTCCAGAAGGTTTCTCAGGTAGGACACGTTACTTTATCTCGAAATTGTTTTCGCGTTTGCCATTTATTGCCACGTGAGGGCAGCGTTGCGTCATCGTTGATATGATGAAAATGCGAAATTCTTTTCTCCTTCTTCCATTTCTCTCTCTCTCTCTCTCTTTACCTTTTTTTTTTTTTTCGAATTTCAAGAGTGACGAGATGGAAACTCGATTCCTTTTTGGAAAACGGATCGGCTTCACTGGGTCAAATTAAATTGAAATTCTTTCGAATAAAAAAAAAAAAAAAAAAATTTCTCTCTCTCTCTCTCTCACTCTGATGACGGTTCGCATTTCTTTTTCCCATCGGAGATTTTCCTAGCCTAAGAGAAAAGTCAATTTAATTTTCCTGTCGGTTAATAATAAGTCTTAAGTGCTGTTTCTTGTTTTTTCCCTCCGTCGGAAAAGCAGGAGGAAAAGGAGAAGGAGGAGGAGGAGGAGCAAGGGCAGGAGCACCGGAGGAATTTTCAACCTTAACCTATCATTCCATCTACTCAAACATTATCGAATCCTTTAAAATATTTAATCTTTTTATTATTTAACGTTTAGCTTTCGTAAAAAAAAAAATTATTTTAGGGGAAGAGGAGGGTGTCTTCCCCCCCCCCCGATGGGTTCGATCGCGCGTTTTTCTCTTAAAATAATAATAATAATAATTAAACGAAAAACAAACAAACGTTTGTTATACGTTACGGAGTTCCTTCTCGCTGACCCATGATCGTAATTTCGGAGGGAAAAAAAACTTTGACCTACGAATAAAACGAGAGAGAGAGAGAGAGAAAGAGAGAGAGAAAAAAAACGTGGAAGTAGAAAAAAATAAACCGAAAGGGAGGGAGGAAGAGGGAAAGAGAGAGAGAAAAAGAAAAAAATTCCCCGCTTTTGATTCGTTTATTTAATTAACGATTACCCTTAATTTTTCGTTATGAAATGAAACCTCCGACGTGGAAGGAGAAAGAAAAGATTTAAAAATAAATTTTAAAAAGGAAAAAAAAAAAAAAAAGGAAACTCTCTTTGATTTTCCGTTGAAAATTAATTAATGAACATTCGAAAAGTTTTCTCTCTTTTTCTCTTTCTCTCGGTCTGTCTGTCTGCCGCTTCCGCTTTTTACCTTTGTTTCTCTCTTTCTCTCTCTCTCTCTCTCTCTCTCTCGCTTTTCCGTTGCTCATTGTCTTTTGTTGAATTGTTTAAAAAAGAAAAAAAAAGGCGGGAAAAAAAAATTACAAAAAAAAAAAAAATTATTTTTTTTGTTAAAGTAAATCGTACACCGTGAAAAACTCGTTGACATTTTTCTTTTTTTTTTTTTTTTTGCGTTTTTTCTTCTCACGGAAAAAAGAACAAAAGAGAGAAAAAGAGAGAGGGAGAAAGACGAAGAGGTAGAGAGAGAGAACGAAGAAAAAAATAACGAAAAATTCACGGGGGTCAAATGTGAAACGAAAGAAAAAATTTGTTTACGTCACACGTAAAAAAAAAAAAAAAAAACGTGAATGTGGTAAATTAATAACTGACACGACAAAATGTCGTTTAACGCCACGTTTGCCCCCCCCCTTTCCCTCCCCTCCGACTCTTTCTCTTTCTCTCTCTCACTCGGGTGTTTTATTATTTCAATTTCGTTTTGTAGTTTTTTTTTTTTTTTTTTTTTTTCGAACGAGATTTTATTTTTTTTTCTCGTTAAATTCGAGAATGAAAAATCCCTTTCATTTTTTTTTTCCCGTGTCATTTTAATCGAATTTACGTGCAAATACTTAATAACTAACTAACTGTCGAATTATTACAAATTTTCTTTTTTTTCTACCCCCCCCCCCCCTTTCCGGTATCACGCGTTCGATATTAATAATAATAATAATAATAATGATAAAAGACGAAGAAAAACGACAAATAAAAATTTAATTTAAAAAAATCTGGGAAAAAATGATTTCGATTCGGGTAAAAATGACGATGACAATTATTTACCTCATTTAAAATAATAATAATAATAATAAAAGAGAAAAAGACAGAAAGAGAGAGAGAGAGGGGGGGAGAGGAAAGAGGGGAGGAAGAGAAAGAAAGAAAAAGGAAATAAAAAAAAAAAATAAGGAAAAAATTTAATTGATATTTCCGATAAATTGAATTTGAAAGGAAAAGCGAGAAAATTAAATAAATGGGAAGTAAAAGACAAATAAAAAAAAAAAAAAAAAAAACACAATACGGAAAGAGAGAGAGAGTGAGTGGGGGGAGGAGAAAGAGAAAGAAATATAAAAAAAGCGGAGGGAGAGGGAGAGAGAGAAAGGGAGGGAAATAAGAAAACTTTTCGAGGATCGGATTTCCCATTAAAAAAAAAAAAAAAAAAAATTAATTTGAATAATGTTCGAGATCGATAAAATTTTTTTTTTTTTTTTTTTTAATATTTGCGACATTTTTCCCTTCATCCTCCACCTCCTCCTCCTCCTCCTCCCCCCTCTTCGGTAAACGTGTTCAAATTGCGCGACGGAACGACAAAAAAAAAATAATAATAAAAAAAATCAACGAACCGGTTCACTTTATTATCATTATCATTTGTTTATTTTTATTTTTTAAAAAAGTTTCACCTATTGTTAAAATTTACGAATTAAAAAACAAGCAAACAAACAAACAAACAAACAAACCGCAAGCGAGAGGGGGGGATGAGGCGGGGGCGGACAAAACAAACAAACAAACAACCAACGATATATTAATTTTTCCACATAACGACAATTTCGGTCTCTCGGTTTTATTCAATACTCAACATCATCATCATCATCATCATCGTTATTAACTTCATCTAAAACCACGACGTCGAAAATGGTTGGTCATTTGTTAATAACCACGCGATGACATGACACACGCGTAATAAAAAAAAAAAAACTCGCAACCTGTCAGTATTATTATTATTATTATTATTATTGTGATTCTAAGATACCGTTACGCGAACGGAAACGAAAGCGAAAAAAATTTTTTTTTTTTCATCGTCACGACGACGATGATGATGATGGTAATAATAATAATAATAATAATAATAATCACGATAGTCATTATTAAAGGTCAACGAACTCGATACAAAATCACTATTGCTATTGTTATTATCATTATTTCGTGGCACTCGACTACGACGACGACGACGACGACGATATTAATTTATTAACCGTTTGAATTCGAAATTTGAATTTTACTTTTTTTTTTTTTTTTTGCATGACGTACTTCCGCCGAGTGAAAGAGAAAGAGAGAGAGATGAGTGAGAGAGAGAGAGAGAGAGAGAGAGAGAGGAAAAAAAATCATAATGATGTAAAACGACGTGATTTATTCGTCCTAACCGGAAGTTAGGAAAAAAATAAATAAATTTCCGCGGCGCGAAAGCGAAAAAAAAGGAAATATTAAAAAATTTTTTTTTTGTCATTTCGAACGGGTTCCGTTCGGTATTCGTCGTCATCACGTCGCAAATATTTTCTTATTCCACGTCGACGGACGTTCATTCAAATTTTTCCTTCTTTTTAAAAAAAAATTTCTACGGGAAAAAAATGAGAGAGAGAGAGAGAGAGAGAGAGAGAGAGAGAGAGAGAGAGAGATAAGAATGAAATGATACAAAGAAAGAGAAAAAGAAGAAGCAAAAATAAAAATAAAAAAAAAGTGGAACAAGAAGAAAAACAGAAAAGGTGATGGCGAAGCGAGGGGTGGGGTGGGGTGAGAAGGTGGAAAGGGGGAGGGGCACGAACGAATAACATTTACTTAATTTAATATCACTAACGGAAAAAAAAGAAAAAGAAAAAAGGATTCGAACTTTTTTCTTCTTTTTTTTATTTTCAAATCGCCATCTTTTAAAATTAACTTGTCATGAATGAATAAAAAACTAATTTAATTTTTTCTTCTCTCTCTCTCTCTCTCTCTCTTTTTCTTTTTCCCTACGTCTCTCTCTCTCTCTCTCTTTCTTCAATTGCCATCTTTTCGTTTTTTTTTTTTTTTTTTTTTTTTAGCTGCCTCTTTGATTTATTAAAATGAAAAAAAAAAAATTTAATTCTACTCGCAAAAAAAAGAAAAAAGCGATCGAATTATCATTATCATTATTATCATTATTATTTGTACAAATAATTAATTGACGCCTTTAACAAGTGCCGCGATGACGTATTGTTTAAACCTACCCCCTCTCCCCCCAGTCCTCCAAATCATCACCATCCCTTTCCCCCACCTCACTAAAATTTCCCTGGAAAAAAATAAGAAACAAACAAAACTGATTGACTTCCGTTTTATTTTTTTAAAAAAACGTTTTCCCGATTTCCGCCGGAAATAAGACGCCATATTGGATTTCTTTTTTAATACAAACAAAAAATTTACAAAGATTAGATAGATAGATTTTTTGTTAATTACAAAAAAAAGCAGGACCGTGACAATTATGTATATACCCAAACACCGTAAGCCGAAAAAAAAAGGATAAACAAACAAACCTTTTGGTAAAACAACCACAACCGACAGGAGAAGGAAAAAAAACAAACGCAACAAA